AGTAGCAAACAGAAAGTACAGACCTAGTGAGGAGGGTCCTTTTATTTTGTAGTGGAGAATCACACAAAATTTGGTTGCTTTGGGGCTTTAACAAAAATGTAGAAGAATGTCAGGTGCTCCTCTCTGACATCTTTAGAGCTTCTTACCAGCAAGAAGCTGTTGGACAATACAGGTGATGAGTGTGTACTCTGTGAATGGGATCAGTATTTTCCTAATTTTCTCTTATGTTACATGGATGGAGTGGATAGTAAAATTAAATTACTTTATGTTTACTTAAACAGAAATCAGAGGTGAAAAAGACACACTCATTAACTCCATATGGGGGTTAGGAGTAAAGGGGCTGTCATTTATGGATAAGACCCTGAAAAGCTGCTGGAGGTGTGTGATATCTCATTCTTGTTACTTTTTAAAGAGAGGTAGCTGTGCATGTAACTCTGTCTCACTTGAGCTTTACTGCCTCCATCTTTTGTTGTCATTGTGTTTCTTTGCGTATCAAAAATTAGTGATGGCAAGAGTCTGCACAGCTTTGCACTAGCTGAAGGTTGTTTATGTGACGATGCCTTTGTGCGTCTGGACTCACTGTTCCAAACCACTTTCATGGGAGACTGATCTTTGGTATAATTCATAGGGCCCAAGTCTAGCCATCAGCCTGACTTCTTAAAAAATGCAGGCTATCGCTTTCCAGCGTCTTCCTTTGCTTTCTGGAGCAGACTTAGCCCAAGTCTAGCCATCAGCCTGACTTCTTCAAAAATGCAGGCTATCGCTTTCCAGCTTCTTCCTTTGCTTTCTGGAGCAGACTTGTGTTGACCCTGTGTCTTTAGAGAAAAAAGAACCACTACTTCCTTTGGTTTATAATGTCACTGTATGTTTTGGTTTTGTGGTTTGTTTGTGTTTTTTTTTTTTTTTTTTTTAAGCCAAACCTACTAGATGTCATTGTTGAGACTGTCTTTTTTTTATGGAATTTGGCCCAAATTCTCCTATTCTGAAGTCCTTGATTCTTGAGGTTAGGGTTGCGTGTACTGTCCCACTTTTGTGCACCCACTGGTATAATTTAGTAAATCTGTCATCTATGCTCAATACAACAGAGTTATTTAACTGCAGAAGCTCACCGGTACAATTAACCCTGTTCCGTCAAAATGAGGAGCTGATTATCTTGGCATTCAGAGGAGTATAGAGCACAGTTAGAGTGCTGCGGTTTCTGGCCCTCCCGGAGCAGTATTGCAGTCAATTGATTATTTTGTTAATTTGTTCTCCATCAGTATCCTGCTGGTTTATTGTCATCCAAGTGACTTTATGCGCAATGCATAAGTATAAGTATATTAAAAAATCAATACCCGAACCTTTTTTCCTTGTAAGGCTCTTAATCATCCATGGCCTTCCTTCTTTAATACATGACCTTCAATTCTGATTACAACACAGCTAGGAACTTTTACATGATTTAGTTTCATGCTAATAAAGTAGATGCTCAGAGTTTACTCTCTACTTAATTGTATATCATAACGAAGAAGGAATAAATGAATTAAGAATGAAATAAACAAAAGGCTGTTATTGCTGATAAATAAGCCTCATTTTGAGTCAGCAAAATTCATGCAATTTTAGTTAGAAAGTCTCATTCCTTCACTAGGTTCTAATAAGTATCATGCTTCACAGGCTCAAATAATTTCGCGATGCTATTATCAGAAGCCTGAGTCTTACAAATGCTGTTTTTCCTGCTTTAGTTAGAGAAACAAGTATTTAAAAGATGGTGTGAGGTTGCATTGTGCATTGAAATGAGGTCTGAATTCAGGTCTAAACTTGACACGAGTACATGGGATTGTGGGTGTTACAAGATCAGAATGCTTCCCAATCATCTTCTGCCTTTGCACATGCAAAGATGTTCTGTCTTGTGTGTGTTTTTGAAACCTAATAGCTGTGATGTGGTACTTAATGCATTTCTGTTACTGATGTCACAAAGAGGCCTGCTCTTCTTTAAAAAGAAAACCATAAGATTGAAGCAGAGTCAGATGTGGTCTCTCTCCTGATCTAGACTAGATAGGAAAGCACCAGTTTCTAGCACTGGAAAGACACCGCTTTCCTAATGCAGGAACCCAGTTGGCAAGAGGACTGGGGTTCTCCTGAGTCAGCTCTCTGCAGCCCTAAATGGATAGTTCTCCACTCAGATCATTGGATTGGAAAGACACCGCTTTCCTAATGCAGGAACCCAGTTGGCAAGAGGACTGGGGTTCTCCTGAGTCAGCCCTAAATGGGTAGTTCTCCACTCAGGTCATTGGATTTGGTCGTCCTTTTCCAATGATAAATTTCTTCTCTTGGGGATTGTTTCTGGGATATACAGATGTTACCTGATCTTGGGATCATTGCTTTCTAGACATATTGTCATCAGGAGAAAGGCAAGTTCTTACCTCATGCTGGCTAAGATCCTTATACAAGGCAACTGAATGAGGTGATTTGTAGCTTATGTAAGTGGGAAGCTACCAAGGCCTTACCCAAACCTTTCAACTCATTTCGTGACAGAAATACCTAATCTTTAATGGATGGGGTTGTAGGAGTTGCCATCATTCGTGAACATAAGGAAAAACCCCTTGTTTCTGTACACTCAGTATTTCTGAGACTGTTACATCTGTGGATGGTAACATCCTGTGTCCCTTTTCTCCATGTGAAATATTCAGAAAACAGCCTACAGAGTGGTTCTAGTTCAGAGAAGGTTATACTTCCTTGGCTCAGGAAGTTATAATGAAATGTAATATAATATAGTACAAAAAATAAATTATATTTTATTGTGAAGATGGAACAAATCAGACAAACGAGATGATCCTGAAGAGGGAAACCAGCCCGTGCTATTTCTGCAGGTTGCTCCCTCACTTCCTCCAGGTTGTCTTAAAGAAAAGCCAGGGCTCCGCAGCATTGCTTTTTTAATTAGTAGAAATCCTTTTGTACTAAATCCTAATTCTGTGCCTTAATGCAGCAGGTCCTGCAGAGCCAGCGAGCTTGCGTGGGAGCACAAACGAATGAAATCTTTTTCTCTGGCATCCTTCTAAGTGAGGGTTGGCTTCTGTTCGTAATTATTTTCTGTGGTGACAGCTCAAGCTTTTGCAGTCGCAAGGGGAGAGGCAGGGGTGGTAATGGAGGAAGGATAATGACAGGTGATTGCTCTGTTGTCTCCATGGCATCACTGAGCCTTATCTTAGAGGTATCAAACAGTCTGCTTATACCTTTCTTTACTCTGTTCAGATACCTGGCGCCACTGAGTGCGTCTAGTATGGGTCCTATTTAATCACTGTCCTTTTTGCAGCTTATTTTGGTTTTTCTTTCTTTTCAGTCTGCTTCGCTTTTAATGAACCTGCACAAGTAGTGGAAACACGTGTATAAAAAAAAGAAAACACCTACTAATTCAAAATTTTATAATTTTATATCTTTAGTTAAGGGGTTAGAATTCATCCAAGTACATTTTAATAAACATTTGATAACGGCCTTTTCAGGGCACACTGCCCCATCCTGCTCAGTATGGATTGGTATTGGGTTTTCAGGGTTATAATGAAGCAGTATAGCTATGAGGAAACAGTTTCACCTCAGCCTTAGGCACCTCACTAAACACTGTCTTTGGGCGCTTCTGCGTTAATTAACGGAGACAGAACTGACCTAAGATCTGATTTAGCATTTAGATGAATTTCTCCTCTGTTGTTTTTTGATTGGCACTACATGAGTTGCTGCAACAGAGTGGCGTAACTCCTGTATACATTGTCTTAGTCAGAAATGCCAAAGCCACATGTGTAGAAGCAGCTCTCAAAGTTAATAGATTTATTTAATAACCATGCATATTTTTTCAAGAAAATGCCTAAGGAAATGTTAGGGGTCTTGCTGCCTTCTGCTGTATCTCAAGATGTACTCAGTTCATGGTTTTAAACATTAGTCTTTGATCAGGAGGGCTAGACTTTTTTTGAATTTTGAATTAAGTGGTGTGGGACTCATGCTATCTTGGTTCCGGGTGTTAGGCTAAAGAGTATAAAAAGAAGGTGACAAACCTGGCAGCACTTCTGCAAGGTCTAGGAATATGTTAGCACATATTATAACAACAATTACAGCCATTCAGTGGTCTCTTTTAGGAGTACTCTTTTACATAGGTACAGATAAGATGGTTATGGTCTGACATTTGTAGTTCCTGCCTTCAAAGATATTTCTATGTCTAACTTCTCTTGTTTTCTGCAGTGCTTAGTTAAATGTTTTTGTGGATTTGCTGTTAATAAAGGAAAGGATCTCTAAAAATCTGTCTACTTGTGTTTAATAACCAGTATTTTCATATCTTGCACTTCAGCCACTCTGGTCAGTTTATTGGGTTTTTTGCCATTTAGTTTTTCTTGCCAGTGTATTTATTTATCACTTATTTACTGCAAGGATAATCCCTGAAAATAGATTGCTCTACAAGATGTGTTTCTGAGAACCTCAGAAGTATGATGAAAGCACACAACCCCAGATGTTTTTTTCCCAGCAAATCTCCTTGGCAGGAAAGGGTATCTAATGCTCTGAAAATGCCCTCAAGGAAAATCTGAAAAAGTAAAAGTGTGGTTGAGACCTGCATCCTCATTTTAGCAAATTCCTGCAGCTCGGAACAGTGACACATTGGGAATTAGTTAAATAATTTTAGCTTCTAATAACAACAATGTTTTTATGTTGGTGGCTATCCGTGATGTTAATGATACCTGAAGAGAGGCTCGCTCTTATGCAGATTCTCAGGTATCTAAAACATGTTCAAGTTGTAGCTTTCTTCCAGATAGGACACTTCTGACTGTCTCTTCCCCACATAGCCCTTGTAGTAGTCTTTGAGCTCTCTACACCTTTGCAGATTTCGACTGAAATCAGCCACAAGTTCAGAAGTTGCAAATGAATGACACAGACACAAATAATGTGATTTCATAATCTTTATCTGTCATGAAAACAAGGCTAAAAAATCTTTGTATCTGTGGTTAAGAATGTTGAGTTAAAGATGTGAAAATTAACCCTTCCAGGTAAAGAAGGCTGTGCAACAGGAAGGCTTCAGCAGAAGGAAGCGAGGATATAGAGACATCAATGACATTGACATCAACATGAATGATCCTTTATTTACGAAGCAATGGTACCTGGTAAGGTTTGAAAGAAAATCACAGTAGTCATAACTAAATAATTGGCATTCAAGCCATTCTGTGCTGTTGCAGTGTTTTGCAAGAGTTCTTTCCAAATATGTCACAAGAACTTGAGAATGGATCCAAGGCTCTGTCTTGTTTTTAACTGTACCTATTTTATGCTAGGAAGACCCAGCGCATTTAAAGAGCTAAATTTCATTTCAGTCAATGGAAAGATCCTTAGAAGGCTTGAAAGAGATCTGTATTGGTGTCCTGTGGACATTCCTGGTGTGCTGATGTGACCCCTAAAACTGCATATGAATCATGTCTTTGAGCTGTTGCCGGGTAAAATATTGTTATAGAATTATAACAAAAAGTTCTAGTGCATTGGCTAGAAAAAGTGGAGGTTTTTATTTTCTTATGAAAATTTGAATATTAATTGATTTTCTTCTGTCAAAAACAGAACAGCTGAAAATTGATGAAGTTTGGCTTAAGCTAACATCAAAAGAAATTAATATTTTGCTAAACTGTTTCATTTTTAATGTGTCATATTTTACAGGGAGAAGTCTTTAGTCATAAAAGAAAAAATAAATTTTTACATAAAGGTAGCCAAAATTATATTCTTCTATTTAAAAAGTTCATAAAGTCATTTTGGTGAGTTTTAATGTTGCAACCTATTTATGATTAAATACTTAGTAAGTGCAGTAGTACCTTGTGAACTTGAGAAGAGTCTTTTTGCTTAAGAATAGCATTCCTTAGTCCCTTTCGTTTTAATCCATTTCTTATGTTTTGTGAATCCATCCAATATGGCTGTTTGTGGTTTTTGGTTTTTTTTTCTAAGAGAATAGTTTTCAGGTGAGTGAAAGCATATTAGCATGGGTGGGGCTTCAACCTTGATGAGATGATAAACTGAAGTGTGGATTAATTAACTTCTTTCTGGTACCTCAATCAAAATGTTGCAGTGATAAAAATAACAAAATTTTTATGAAGCCATAAATTTTTTAGATTATAAAGTATACTAAAATGTGTTTTGAAATGAGACGTGTCTGACACAAAATCGTAATTTTTTACATCTGGAGTAGCAAAAGCCATGTTATTTTTCCCACGGAACTTGAGAAATTCACGAATGAGGTTGGTGAACAGAAGTAATGCCTGATGATGCAGGGGGTTGCCTGTGATGCAGAACCGTAGAATCACGCACACACACGATGTTGGAAGGGACCCTTGAAGTTCCAGTAGTGAACTTTCCTGCTTAAAGAAGGGATAACTTTGTTGTCAAATAAGTTGTTTCTGGTGCTAACCCCTGTGGTCATGAATTTCAGTAGATCCCTGCTTACAAGAAGAAAGCGTTTCCTGCTCATAAAAAAGTCCTCTGTAAAATCCATTGGTCTAACCTTTTTCTGGATTGACCCACTGCTATGCCATGCTTAAGCAGAAAAGTCCTGTTTTGTGTCCGGAAGATTTAGTGTTTAACCAATCTTATAAACCACAAAGAAGTGAATTTACCCAGAGTTGTTTTGATTTTGTTTTTTTTTTTTTCTGGCATTATTGCAGTAGATATGATTATGTACACGTGTGCACTCCAAAGCAAATGGGATACGTTTTCCATACCAAAGATATATGCAAAGACATAAGCAGAATTCAGAGGCTGTGGGAATGTGTCTGTCAAGTAAAAAAAGCTATTCTTCTTTTTTGATTATGTATTAGATTAACACTGGTCAAGCAGATGGGACTCCTGGACTTGACCTTAACGTAGCTGAAGCATGGGAACTGGGATACACAGGGAAGGGAGTAACCATAGGAATTATGGATGATGGTAAGTGAAGAACTGAGTGCTAATTTAATATTTTTTAAGTTGCTTTTTCCATGTAATCAAAGAAAAATTAAAAAGTAATAATGGATTGCTACCAGCCTCAATAAAGACTTTGAGATCTTCAGGGAAAATATGCTATAAAGTTTTCACTAGGGATAGTGAAGCATGGATATCCAAGCATTAAAACTAGGTTGCAGTTATCACTCAGATGTCTTCCAGGGTACATTATAATGGTCATTAAGCCAAAGGAGAGATTCCCCTTGACTTCTTTAGGCACTGACTGGGGGATATAATTGCTGTGCAAAAAAAGTACTTAGGAAAACGTTCTCTGGGTTGCATTATTCTCAAAGTCATACTTGACAGCTGAAATAATTAAACACTTTCATGCTGAATGTCAATAAAGACTTTGCATATTAAATATATTACTAATTTGAGGCTAAGTTCAGGGAAGATGAAGATAAAAGGTACAGTTGAAGTCACAGCTATTATACCCGTGGGGACGGGAATTCTGTGCAGTCTCTCAGCACTTTGAGCTAAATTTTGAATGTTTTCCTTTTATGGTGACTGAATAATATTTAAAAGAAATAAAATGTCTGGATCCACATATGTTTTCGAGAGTCAACTGATATCTGTCCTCACTTATTTCTGTTACTCATCTGCTTACCCCTAAGAGACAAGGTTTTTGTGGAAGTAAGAAAGTAGACTCAGACATCTACATATTGATGTAATGAGAAATCACAATTTCACTGATCGCGCAGAGGCAGGACTTACCTTTCAGAAAGCTAGGCATGACTGGGATGGGGATGATGACAAAGTATTTGAGCTTCAGGTCAAATAAAGCTCTTGGCCTATCAGATCCAGCTTTTAGAGAAGGGGGTAATTTGCCTTATATTCACTTCCAGTAACTCTGGAAGAGAGCACCTGAATAGCATGGTTCTTCATTGAGACTTTTGTTGTGCATCTACCGTTTGCATCAGTTAAACTCTCCTTAGATGCCAGGGTCTCTTCGTGCAAATCCAAAGTGTTTGCCTTGGTGGCCTCCCCAGGTCTAGTTTGGGTAATTTTCTGTCTACTTAGTTTACAATTTTCAGTGGTTAAAAACGCTCCTTTTTGTATCCTGTACTGATCTAGTGCTTACTGATCTTGTTAGTTTTGGTATGCTTTGAGATAATAGGACTTGTATAAAGATAAATTGTGATTTAAACTGATCTTAATAAGTAAATATGACCTAGTGTCCAAAACAGGTCAATAAATTTTGGTGCTGAAGTCACCTTTTTGGTTGGCACCTAGATAATGACGTAAATGATTGAAAACTTCTAACTGGGTGTGCATCAGAAATGGTACACCAGTTTAAAAGGCCACATTTAAAAACTGGAATCTCACTTCAAGCAGTTGTGTTATTCACCATGATCATTTTCCTGTGGTTGCAAAGGAATCTTTTGTTCTGTGATCGCTAGAAAATATTTTTTAAACTCTTAACCTTTGCTTTCTGTTCTGTCATTATCTTATTGCAGGAATTGATTATCTGCATCCCGATCTTGCATCAAATTACGTAAGTACATGCTGACCTTTTCTGTAAAATGTAGATTTTCTTGTTGTTATAGTACCTCTGCTACAAATTTTTAAATAATGAGTGGAACAACAGTACAGCTGAACTGCTGATCTACAGATGATACATTTCACCTTGAAAGAAGCAGACTGAAAATGGGCCTGCCTGTGCAAGGAATGGAAAGGTGACAAGGCTCTTTGTGGAGGAGTGACAGTGCTTCCTCACATTAAGTAAGCTGCAGCTTGCAATATTGGATTTAGGACAGAAATGAGTATCCTGGGAATTGGCTCTAAATCCTGCTATTAAGATGCAGAATGCATCTGTTACTTGGAGGGCTGTGGAGCTGCAGCATGGCATGTATTAGCCTTTGAAACCTCCAGGAACAGCTTAATTCCCTTATAACAGGTGATTTGATCCAATGCTTCAAAGCATGTCCAGGGCAGATTGTGTATTTTCAGCACACACAGTGTCAATTGATTGTTCCTCAAACTTGCTTCACGCTTCAGACCTTTGTACTAGAGGGTTTTTATCTCTCTCAATTCTTCCAGGCTCTCCCTAATCGCCGACTGACACTAGCACTCCTATCTCCAGACATTTACAAGGCCTCCCAGCACCCATGGGCTGCATGTTACCTTTGCGGTATGCTGCTCTCACACTGTGCTGTGGCAGTCTGTTGGCAACAGGCGTCAGGAAGCTGTGGCTCCTTGCCAAAGGGGTGTTGCAGTGGCTTCCTGATGCTTCTTCTGCAGTCAGTGGCTTTCCGATTGAGGCCCAAGCTTCTTCAGCTGCGCAGTGGTTTGGTTTGCAATTGCAATTAAGTGAAACAAAGAATAACTGGAAATGTTGGTAAACATGTGAGCTGAGAAAGAGTAAGACAATTATTTTTATGTATTTTCAGTTTTGGAAATAGTAACACAGGATGAAAACCTATGTGTTGTAGCAAGTAGCAAAACACCTTTGGTAGAGAATAAGTTGATATAGAAGGTGTTGACCTTGGAAAGGGATTGGCGACCACAGAGGTAAAGTGCAGGATAGCCAGTTTCACTCCTTGTGAACTGGATTAACAACTTCATAGCAGCTAATTAAACACTGTGCCCTGGCTGCAAAATTCTCACCCACGAGGAGTAACTCAGTAGGATGTTTCCATAAACAGAGAGCCTTTTTCCTTGTAGGATTTGTGCTCTTTTTGTATGTTTTAGCGTATGATCTGAGGACAGCACATGCTCTTTACTCGCTTTTCAGCAGCAGGTGTGGACAAAGTATGTGGGAATATTCTGCTTCTAAAAACCGTGTTTCAAATAAACAAAAAGTCTGTACAACATATCTGACGTAATGTCAAATAGGAACAATTCTGTTGTTAACAGTGAACGTAGGATTTTACCCAGAAACCAAAAAATAGGTTTCTCAGTAACACCGTGTTTTCTGTTTTAGTTCTAAAACTATTTTCTCTTTGATGGATAAATATTTGTCAGGCTTAGCAGAAATATATTGGTTTTAGAGTGGCAGTAGTGAGTATTCTGGAAGGTAATGGAAAATGACACAGAAAATGACAATGCACAGACACGATGCTAGAAATCAGAAAATAGTGGAGCTGGAGAGAAATCTGAGAGTTCAGAAAATAAATATTGCGATGAAAATTGGAGAAGAAAAGCTGTCTGGGCACAGGGACCACAAACCTTGACAGAACTTGTGAGGAGACTGATCTTGAGATGAGCATCTGTAAAGGTTTGTGTAGGAATGACTTCGTCAAAGCAAGGAGTGGTCCAGTTGTGGAGCAATGATCAGGCTGTGGAGGGACAAAAGAAGCTTGCCTGGCCAATGCAAAATGCAGAATTAGGCCTCGCTTGCGCAGGGCAAGGGAACAGACATGGGAGGAAAGACTGAGGAATGAGTGGTTGGTAAGGCAGTCATTAAAGGAGCAGCAGAAACCCCATCTGAAAGATCACAGTCTTAAAGGAGATACTACCCCGTGCTTTTAATACAGAAATACAAAAATAGGAGCTGTCATATGAAATCTGTGGTTCTAGGTTGTCACAACACTGAGGAAAAAAAAAAGGGGGGCAGGGGGGGAAGCTTCGGTTTGTGTAGTTGATCTTCTTTTGCCTAATTCCATACTAAATATACCAGAGGACACAGCAATGAAACCTGCTGATAAATTAGCACATTATATGCAAGGTAACCAGTAAAAGGGTAAACTTGGTAACGAGTAAAAGGTGCTGGCACTTCCTCACGCAGAGCTGGCTGAAGTTGCTGTGTCTGAGAGGGGGCTGGCTGAAGGGCAAGGTTGACTCCTGCTGCTGAAATCTGCCATCGCCTCCCTCGCCCAAGTACAGCACAGCGGTTGCAGGGCTTGGTTCACCTGCACTTTGCCTCTCCTGCTCTCACTGCACAGCTGCGCAGGCCTCCTGAGACCTTGGAGATCCTGCTCTGACAGCATCTGCTGTGTTTCAGGGACCACAGCGGCCTTTTTTCCCAGTAGGGAGCAGTTTGTGCGCGAACTAAAGACAAGGACTTAAATTCAGCTAAAGGAAAGATCAGTTCACACGTAAAAATGCAACGAAACCAGTCTCTTAAGGAATGAGTTGTTGACTTGCTTTGGGCTGGCACAGCAATAGCAGTCACCTTTGTGCAGTTGCTATACCACACGTTTGGTGTTTCATGACATTTGCACTTCTGGGCAGCTTTCTCTTAAATTACGTTGTTTATTTTTAGGAAATTAAAAGCCTGCAGCATATGTTTCTCAAGTGTGTAAACACTTACATACCATGGCAATGTCTGTACGTCTTGCTTGGAAAATTGGGAGCAATTAGAAAGTCTCTCAAAGGTGGTGTTTTTGGCACTTGAGCATTTTAAAGTATAAAAAATTGGCATTGATTACTCAGTTTAATTTGGCTTTTATGTTTTTGACTTGCTGGTTTTCTTGCTTGAAGAGTTTAATTGGGGGTTAGCACTTAGACAAAATGAAGGGTCAGGGAAGAGAGAACTTTCTGAAGAAAAAAACAATTTGTATTTTTTCCTAAAAATTGCTGAACTATGGCCTATCATATGGAGTGCACTCTATCCATATTTTTTTTTTCCAGTTTCTGAGCTTTACTGCTGCAATCATCCACTTCTCTTTTTAATGCACATGGAAAGGAGCATGCCTGCTTGTGGTCTGGTTGGACTGCTCTCCCAGCACCCCCTCCCAGCTTGCTGCAGTATAGCTACTTGCTTTTCTAGGATCAGGGGGTTATGGAAAGGCTGTAATTTTCCATTCTGCACCGTGAATGCAGAGAGACTCATTGTCCAATGATCAATATTTTCTTGCAAGCCTTGGAAACCCTGCAGAGGTTCAGCCTTCAGGAAATTATTTTTTTCCCCACAAAGAGAACCCTTCATTATGAACTGATAATTAAAAAGCTGAAGCCTAATGTACTCCATGGTTTTCTTTCAACTCAGATTGTACATACAAAGCTAGCAATTTTGAGGACTGACTTCTTCAAGATACAGCATCTGAGTGAGAAAGAAAACTGAAGTAACAAGGTCTGCATATTAGATAGGTCTAATAGAAGAGAACAGCAGCTGTGGGGGAGTACATGACAAATTTCAGTACCTTGTTTTAAAGAAAAGACTAATCAAATGGAGATTTGTTGTGCCATGAACAGAAACATAAGCCGATCTCTCATATCAGTTTGTATTGCGGTACTTTTATACTTGGCCAATGTTTGCTGGTGAAGGTCAGTGTAGCTGCATTATCCCACTAGTGTAGCTGCATTATCCCACTTACAGCAGCAAGGAGCTGATCATCTCATCTTAATGAGTTTATCCCTGATTAGCAGTAGTGAGGAAAATCGGAATCCCACCAAGAGACTCGGGCCAGGACTAAAAAATTACTGGTTTCAGTGTCTGAACTCTGCCTGAAGCTGAAGGCTTATTTAAAAAGAACTAGGGAAGGAGAGAGAACAAGACAAACATTTACTGCAGGAAAACCAGAGGTGACTATGTGAGTATGTAACTTTTAAAAAAAGTATTGATACTTGTAAAATGAGAATCATGCAGCAATTCTTAGTAAGAATAATACATAGTAATATAACATATTCAGATGAGAAAAAAGATTTTCAAGTCTGTGGAATTACACAGATGTAAAATGTGCACAAACATGCAGTCATCCTAGCAGCACTTCATTACTGTCCTTCCCCTGATTTTTCTTCTCTGTAACATGTGTCTTTATGGAACAAACTTATGTTCCATCTTCCAAGGTCTTTACCAACTGTCACTCAAACTGTGCACAGGAAAGGAATTGCTGAGCAAAAAGATCATATGTAAGGAATTTGGGAAGACTTTCTGGAGTTACCCCAGGGTTAATTGAAGTTTTGTGTCATCTAACATTTCTCATTGAAATGTGAACAGCAGGTGGTCTTACCTGTCTTCTCTTTACACTTTGGCAACATCTCCAAACATAAAGCAGTCTCTGTCTCATTTGGTAACTTGTCACCAGCTAATATGATAACAGCTCTCCCTGCCTTGCTGGGAGGCAAACAGAAGCATATTTTTGGAATAATTATCACAAAAGCAGTGAAGCAGGGAAATGTTCTACTTCTGTTATGAGCTGCAATTTTCATTGTTTGCTACAGGAACAAAAACATCATTGAATAATCTTCGCAGCTATGAAAGAAATAAGAAATAGTACAGGCAATAAATTATACACTGCAATATGTGCAGTGAAGCTTAGCAACAGCGTAAAGAATCTTCTTTCCTTTAGAAAGTCTGTGTTTCCTTCATTAGCATGAATTTCTGAGTGTGTCTTGGGCTCCCTGCCTGCTACCAAAAGGACTGGCACATTGTTCTGGAGGCTGTGAGACTGATCTCAGTGATTTACCAGTATAAATCACCAGTATCTCCGCTAAAATAACTGGAGCCTAATTGTGGGTGTTTGTAAGTTTACAAAGCTCCAGTGACATCTATTGAACCATGCTGCTTTGACCCTGATGATCTGCCCCACAGAAATCCCAGGTGCTGTTGTT